TCCTCTCAGGGACGGTATGGGTGGAGGGACGGAGTAAGTGCTTCCAGCCAGCCCCCTGTGTGTGTGTGGGGGGGGTGGGCGAGGGCGAAATGGGCCTGGCCTCGAGGGCATCCTTCATTTTTGGTGCCTGTGGGCACCCTGGTGCCAGTTGGGGGAGCAGTGCGGGGGGAGGGGGGGCTGGCTCTACAGCCGCCTCACAGGCAAACCAGGAAAAGGTTTCTCCTTCTTCAGCCTTGCTGACCCTGACATTGGCCGCCTGGCCTGGAGACCCCGAGGAGCCGAGCAATGCCCTGAGCCTTTCGTTAGGGTCCTTCGGGAGTCCAGCAGCCTAGAATGCCCTACGGAAGGGAGGGGAAAGCGGATCTTCGACCCTGACCCCGTATCCCACGCCCTCCCCTTCACATGTCATTGTGATAAACCAGCAAACCTTTGCTACTCGTGGGATGCCTCGTTTTTGATCCCCCAAGTGGCCTCATTTTCCGGGGCCCCTTTTAAAGTTCTCTCTGACGGTCTGGGTGGGCCGGGGTCTGACTACTTTCCCTCACCTCTCCGAACCCTTCAGACGGCAGCCGTGGTGAGCTCTGCCTTGGACCTGTATTTCCCGGAAGGCTGTGGGGTGGAGATTGTGGCTGAACTGGGGCGCTACTACGTGGACTCGGCGTTCACTTTAGTCGTCAACATCGTGGCCAAGAAGGAGGTTCCCCTGGACCAGCCAGGCTCCGAGGGTAAGCGTTCAGTCGGGCAAGCTTTCTTGCAGACCGGGGGATTCCTGCCTGCCCTGTCATCAACGTGAGAGAAGCCTTTCTATCTGCACCCCCCCTTTTAAAAAAATTATTTGGCTGCTGGGAGTCTAATCAAAGCCAAACGATGGTTATCTCGAAAGCTCCGCCCAGAGCCTCGGCCCTGTAAGTTGGGTACTCTTATCAGCGCCTCTGAGCATGTGCAGAGAAACTAGAGTGGTGGCTTCCTTTCACCCCAGTCTTATCTCCGGCCCTAACTTCTTCATAGGGGAGAGGGGTTCAGAGGAGGGCTGGAAGGATGATCGTGGAGCTGGGAACCAAACCCTGGGAGGAAAGACTGAAAGGATCTGTTTCTGATCATCCCCAAGTGCAGGGCACGTAATAATGTGCTCAAGTTATAAGAGGCCAGGTTGAGGCTGAATATCAGGAAAAACTTCTTAACTACTGTTAGAGCAGTACGACAGTGGAACCTGTGGCCTTGGGAGGAGGTGGTGAGTGCTCCAAGGCTGGAGGCCTTCAAGAGAGAAGTGGACCGCCCTCCGTCAGATCAGCTTCAATGGGGATCCTTGCCCTGAGCAGGGGGTTGGACTCCATGGCCTGATCAGCCCCCTTCCAACTCAGTTATTCTAGGATTCTGTTGCCACATCCCCAAAGCGCCTCCTTCTGCAGTGTGCGCCTTACAGGCTGCCACGTGCTGGTTCGAGGGGGCCACGTCAAAAAGAGGACACGGTTCCCGCACCTTTAGTTGTTGTGTGGGAGAGAGAAGTTCAACGGGCTGTTTGCAAGAGAAACGACCTGCGTTGGACCTGAACGGTGTGGGAGCCCTGATCCTTCAAGAAATTTCATGGCCCCGGCCTAGGTGGTGGGCTTTCTCCATGGTGGGCTCAGGCTGCCTCCCTTAGTCAACAACGAAGAGGTAAAGCTCTCAGTTCTGCGTGCTATAGAATGAGGAGCAGTGAGAGTGGCCAAAACGTGGCCTTTCCCACGTAATCAGGGAATCTGGCACAACCTGCATACCCCTAAGAGGGAGGTGCCTCGAGTTGAGGGAGAGGCCCCCAGGTGAAGGTGGGGGCTGGCTGACCCCCCCCAATCTTATGTGAGTTTCTGCACCCTGAAACGCTGCCGATGCCACCTCTCCTGTGTTTCTCGCCTCTCTTCCAGACGAAGACCCCGGGGGCAAAAAGAGCTTCCTCTACCACGTTAACGATGGCGTTTACGGCTCCTTCGGATCGGTCCTCTTCAACAACGTCTGCCCCACTCCCGTCCTGCTGAAGGTAAGTAAGGGAAGCTTTGCAGCCGTGACTCACGAGCAGAACGGAAAGCGAACCGGCCGCTCACGCCTGCTTCCCCTCTGCTCGCGCTCGGCAGAAACCTCCTCCGGACCAGCCGTTGCACAGCAGCAGCGTCTGGGGACCCACCGGGGACGGGCTCGACCGCATTGTGGATGGGGTGGAGCTTCCGGAGCTGCACCTGGGAGACTGGCTGATCTTTGAGAACATGGGGGCCTACACGGTGCCCGCGCCGCCTTCTCTCGGTGGAGGAGAGCAACCTGCGATCTACTACACCATGTCTCGTGTGGCCTGGTGAGCATTTCTCGGGGTCTTTGGCAAGGAAAAGGGGACTTGGTCTTGAAGGAAGGGTGGGCTCAGGTGGGGCAGGGGGTGCGCTCATACCCAAGAAAGGAGAGGACCCTGGCATCCGCGTGGGATCGGCTCCAAGCCTCCCTGCAGATCCCAAAAACCACAGAAATAGTGAACTCTGTACCTAGCATGGTCTCTGGCTCCTCTAGTGGCCAGGCCTAGTAACTACACCATGGAAATACATAGAAATACATACAGTATTTCTGGTGTTTTTTTTTTTTTTTTAAATTTTATATTTTCAGTCAGTGGATCAGTGAATCCGCAGATCCTGATCCCGCAGATATAGTGTTGTAACAAACATGGACCAGTGGTTCAGTGAATCCGCAGATATAGTGTTGTAACAAACATGGAGATGTGAATGGGAGACAAAATTCTTTGCGTGCTCTCAAAGTGTCAAAGGCGTTCTGTGAAAAAAAAGGGCCCGTTTACACACAGAACGGCTGTTTTCCCCCTGCAATGTGTGTGGTGTGTTGCCCTCAGAGGGCATTGCTGGAGGCAACAGGGCATGGCCGGCCAGCCCGATCGATGCCCCCTTGTCTGCGCAGGTGCCTTTTGTCTGCGGGTCACGGGCCTCTTCCTCCTGAGCTGAGCCTGACTCTTTTCCCTTTTGTTTTGGATGGCCTCCTCCTCCCGGCAGGGAAGCCGTCCAGCTCCTGCAGGGGAAGGTCCTGCACCCGGAGGAAGAAGATCGGGAGAGCACCTGCGCCCCACTGTCCTGCGGCTGGGAGATCACAGATACCCTGTGCGTTGCCCCGGTTTTCACACCTGCGAGCATCATGTAAGCTCAGCCGACCATTTGCACCGGGGGGGGCAGAAGCCCACCTCCCGAAAGAGTCCGGCTGCCACTTGCTCTGTTCCTGTTTCCCCCGCCCTCTCCTTCTCTTCTGCCTCCACCGTTTCAGCCCTGGAAGTAGGAGCCGTTTTTTTCCTCTCCTATCCAGACCCCCCCCCCAATGCAGTGTGGTTTTTAAGTATGCAACATAAAACCCTGTTCCTCCTGCTTCCTGGCCTTTTGTCATTTTTTTCCTGAATGAGATTTGCAACGACACGGTTAAATACTGCAGGATTTCCTCTGGTTATAAAACAGATAATATTGATTTTTTTAAAAAATGGCCACACACCGCAAATGCCAGGTTGAACCAGTGTAGCCTTCTTCACTCCTGACATGAGGTTTTTTCTTTTCTCTGTTGCTGAGGGCTTCTCCTTTTTTCAAACTAGAATGATTCAAACAGGCTTTTCCCTGTGTGGTCAGTTATTTCCTTCTACAAAAGGAGGGGGTGCATGTCTGTGGGTGTTGTTGTTAGCAGTTGGAGTGTGATGTTTAGGGGCCTTAGGAACAACCTCCCCCATGATCTGCCCCTTATATGTCCTCATTTTTTTAAAAAAAATCAGCAAGTCTAGTGCTGAGTCTCTGCATTCATACATTGATATAACTAGTTTAGCGCTAGATCACTGCAACCCAGAATTTCTTTTGAAAACATTTGCTATAAAATGGAAACAACCCCTAATAAAATACAGAAGACTACATATTGTTTCTGTAGTGTGTGCATTTCCGTGTATGTTGTGGAGAACTTTAGAAAGCTGCCATCTTTCCCCAAATAATGCTGTGCAGTCCTTTAAAAACCAAACAGCTTCACAGTGAACCATAAAAGGATCGGCAGAGGTGGGAACAGAGGAAGGAAGGAAGGAACGAAGGAACGGCTGAAATGCTGATGACACCATGTCTGTGTGTGGGCACTGGCTCCAAATCAATCTGTAGTCCCTGTGTGGTAACTGTGAACTGAAATGGAACATAGGCTGCGTATCAAACGGCCAGTGTAGTTGGTGCCCCAAGGTCTCCTTGAGGGCCTTGGACTGCTGAACTGCCCGCTGCCAGAGCTGGAAAGGAAGAAGCAATGCATAGGATCCTTGTCTGTAACTAGTTACTTTTCAGGTGATGAGGATGTAGATCCCGATGGGACCAAAGCGTCTGAAGTGAAAATTAGGTACCCCAAAATGATTACATGTACTTCGGTGTCATGTGAACAATTTGTAGATATCAAAATAATTTGGAGGCAGCTGCACTTGGTAGCCAGAGGGGGCTTCATGGGAAATGGCTGTTCCAGTCCTGCTCTTCAAGATGTAAAAGCATTAAAAGGAAAGAGACGATTTTGTCGAACCTTTGCAGTATTTTTTTTTCCCCAGTGGAATTGGGTCAACATGAATTAAGCTTCCCCTGTGCACTTCCTCGCTCTGGGCGGCAGAGGGCGCAGTGAGGGGCAGCGAGTTCGGGCGTGGAAAGGAGGGGAAACGCAGTCCAGGAAAAAGGCGGGGCGTCGTCGTCGCTTCAACCTCCGGCCGCTAGGGGCCGATAGCTTCTCCGGGTCGGTTCTGTCCCACAGGTTTGCGGAGTCTCTGTGGTCAATCTATAAATATAGAAAAATTGTAGAGCGGCACATTCCAAAATCGAATTCTGTAGGATTTGGAGGTGACGCTCCGCAACGCAATCGTGCAATTTCTGTTCGAAAAGGAAGGTTCATGGGAACGTGGATAATTCTACGTCATTTGTTTCGTTGCTCTTCTGGATCACAACCCTGCGATTCCTTCTCAACTAGCATCGGCGGCTAGGGTGACTGGAGAGTCGCCTGCCATAATAAACAAATAAAAATAAATAAACAAATAAGGAACTTTTCCAAGTTTCCTCCGGCCCTCCCCTCCCATCATACAAACCCGGAAGTTGCCATCGAGGAGATGACCTGGATCGTTCTACAATTTCGTATCTCTATTTTCCCCCCCTCCGGCTCCTGAGCCGCGGCGCCGCGAGTGTCGTGAAAGGGCTGCGGTGCGCTTTACGGCATCGTCGTGGTCGTCCTGTTGGTGCAAGGGCAGGTGAGGAAGCGGTGCGCGCGGGGGGGGCGGCTCTGGAAGGGGACGCGGGGGCTCTCCCCCCCTCTGTGTGTGTGTGTGTGTGTGTGTGAGAGAGAGAGACCTCCTTTCCCCTCCCTTTTCTTGGGGGGGGGAAGATTCACAAGAAGAGGCTAGCCCCCCCCCACTGCCCCCTCCCTGAACATTTATTTACAGTACTTAGTTACTGACACATTCATCTTTCCATCCCTTGGGTTGAGGGGCCGCCTTATAATATATATTGTAGATATATGTACACAACACACACACACAATATGCTTATTTTATTCTGGGTCATATACTCTGTCTGTCTGTCTGTAATTATGCATATATTATAATGACCCAAAATAGAAGAAGCTGCCATTTTATTCTGAGAGGTCTTATTATGGGTCATTATTGCATCTATAGCATAGGGTTGTCCTGTAAGCACACACACACACACACACACACACACACACACACACACACACACACACACACAGAGGACACACACAGAGAGAAAACACACACAGGCCACACACACACAGAGAGCCCAAGAGGAAGAGGAAGAGGAAGAGGAAGAAGAGGGGAGAGGGGTCCCCCACAAAAGAGCCTCTCTCTGCTTCGGGCTCTGCTTCTCAGGAGGCTGTTGAATTCCCACAGCCTCTGCCCTGCCCCTTTCTGGATGGGAGGAAGGCTGGGGGTGGGGGTGGTTGGGAAATGATCATCCTTTCTCTGCCCTCCCTAAGAACGGATAGGAATAAGGGGAATCTCGCCTGGAGGGTGTGCCTCTCCTCCTCCTCCTCCTCGCAGGGCAGAGGAAAACAGTCGTTTTGAAATGGGATAGGAAAGGGCATCTGATCCGGGGCTGTTGGCTCAAAAGGAAGCCCTCCCTATTCAGCAGCAGTCTACCCCTGGGTTCATGGAGTAGAGACTCGCCATTCCCCCTTTCGCCTTGCGTTTAGAGTTCTTGGCAGCGCCAGACAGAGAAGAGAGCGGGTTAGAGTCGAGAGCGATGGGCTTGTGTACACCTTGGATCCTTCTAGGCAGGGAGCAGTGGTTGCTGGCCGGCCGTTAAGAGGTCCTGTTCCTGCGCCGGTCGTTTTCCTGGAAGGATTTGAGACAAAACGGCAAGAAAATAAAGGACAAAATTAGTTGAACCACAAATTGGAAGATGCTGGCTTGGCTTCTAGTAAATGGGGTGTCTTGAGACCACGATGAAAGTGGAATCTAGAAGCCTCCACCCTTGGCCTAATCCAGCTGGGCCATACTTAATTATCTCTTTTGCCTCGTTTTCAGGAGTTGTATGGAGGGAATAAACACCCAGAGGAGACCTTTGGTCTAGATGGGCAGGGTAGAAGTCTAGTAAATAAATAAAATAAGCAAGAGAAGTACGTGTCGCCATATAGGGGAATAGGGTTTGCTTCTTTCCCTTCTCTGCCTTGACAAAGAAAGAAGTCTGGCTTCAGAATGAATTTTTTCCCTACCTAAGGATCTAAAACTGTTCATAATTTTTAAGAGCTAATGCCTGGAACAAGATCATATCCTGCAACAATTGAAGACCTTATTTTCCAGTTTTGTGTCCAAAGTGAGCTTACAAATTATTAGGAAGGAGAGTGAAACGCCAAAGAGCAGCACTGTATATAAAAAGGTTTCAGAAAAGTTGTGCTTGTCTTTCGGAATTAAGATGGTTGGGAAAAGTAGTCTGGGGCTTTTACCCAGCTCCCTCTTCTCTTCCTCCCCCCCCCAACCTCCAGGCCCTGACAGCTGTATCCTTACTCTTGAAAGGATGCCTGAAGCGGTCTAACACCTCCCATCTCTACTTGTTCTCTTCTCCTCTCCCCGCCCCCCCACAGCCCCACCAGCCATGCCATTTATAGATTTCCAGGAGCTGCTGGGCATTGACTTGGACCGATGGTACCTCCAGCTAACTGGCAAGCAACCCTATAAACAAGCCGCCAGGTGCCACGCCTTTGAGAAGGAGTGGCTGGAATGCGCAGAAGGCATCGGGGAGCTGCGGGCCAAAAACGAGTGCAAGACAGAGCTGGAGGACCTCAGGGAGTGTATGACGATGCAGAAAATGGTGAGCGGAGAGCGGGTGGAGGAAGAAAGAGAGCCTGAGCAAAGGCTGCTGAACCCGCGTGCGGGAGGAATGAAAGAACGAATGAATTCTCTCGTCACCTTCCCACCCTCAAGGCATGCAGCCTCCTCGGCTGGCCCACAAGCAGAAATGGGACTGAGTGGGAGACTCCTAGAAATCGCCAGGCAGGGCTGGGAAGGAAACCCTGGAGAGGCGATGCTTCCCGTCCAAGTTGATTGTGTGGAGTTAGAGAGCCCCAGGGTACTGTGGTTAGATTGCAAGACTGCAGTGGAGACTCTGCTCACAACCTGAGTTTGATCCCGGCAGGCTTGGGTAGCCGGCTCAGGTCGGACACAGCCTGCCATCCTTCCAGGGTTGGTAAACTGAGTCCCCACCTTGCGGGGGTGGGGGCAATGGGTAGCCTGCATAATTAAATTGTAAACTGCCCAGAGAGCGCTGTAAGCACTATGGGGCGGTATATAAGCAGCACGCTTTGCTTTCGCCAGTTAAGACGGCCCATTGGGCTGGCTTGACATCATTGGGAGCTCCTGATGGAAGATGGCGCCTGTCAGCATGTCCTGTGGGGAGCTTGGAATGGATCGTGTCCGTATTCCTTCCTCTCCTCAGCAAAGAGGGAAGGGAAACGGGTTGGTATGACTCTCTCCTAGAGGGGAATATTACCTGATGCAAGACTAGGAAAAGCTGGGTGAGTCTCTCCGAAGAAGGGAGAGGGGAGCATTACCTGATGCAAGACTAGGAAAAGCTGGTGCTGCCACAACGTGTTTCACAGCTTGAAGGAAACGGAGCCCCCTCCGTCAAGCCGGCCCCATCTTCCCTTCCTCCTTAAGAGAAATCGACTTGAGTGGTGCCAGGGCTTGCTTCTGGTTTTTTTCCCCCCATTTGATATTTAGGCTCCGGAGCACGGGAATGGGGAAGAGGACAGTCATGCGATGGTTCGGCTGAACGTTGGCCTGACTCCTCCTGGACAGAACCAGGTCAAAATGTACAGGTTCAGCCAGGCAGCGACGGTGGTGATAGACTGTGTTTGAGCCTGTAAGGTGTTCTCACAGCTCTTCCTTTCTTCTCTTTCTTCCCCGGTAGAGTGAACGGATCCGGATGATCAGGGAACAGAAACGCAAGCTGATCAAGGAGGGCAAGTACACCCCGCCTGAGCACCACTGTGACAAGTGACACCTCTGGCGGCTCTTGCTTTGGCAGGCCCTCTTCTTCCCTGTTGTTTGAAAAAGAGCTCCGCTCTCGCCACAGTCTGAGGGGGGCAGAGCGGTTCCCTCTTTCCTGGCAACGCTCTCTGTCCCTCGGTTTGAATAAACGTCCTTCTTTAAGTCCGGTGTGGGGTTACTGAGGTGTTTCACCTTCCTGATTTCAGAGGTGCAAATATTCTAGTGGGGAGTGCAGGAAGAGGAGGAGAATACTGATCTCCTCTCTGCCACAGAAGGGGAGCCCAGGATTCCTTCTGGCCATCATCTTCAGCACTGGCACCCTACCATTCTGATGGTCAGGGACGAGGGTGCTTCAGACATCTGAAAAGCCGTCGATTTCCAATGTTTTAATTAGTTGCTGGAAAGAATGGGTTCCTTTTGGGTTTGTCCTCCCCACGCCTTGTTCCTACTGCCTTAGATAATCTTCTCTAGACATTTCTCATTCCTAGAAGTATGATCCCCTCTTCCTGGATTTAATCCTCACAGCCATTCTGGGGTAGTAGAAGAGTTTGAGGAGAGGTAGCTGTCGTTAGATCCCTGAGTGAGCTTCACTGCGGGGGGAGGATTTGAACCCGGGTCTTCCCCGGCTATCCTTGTGACACTGGCTTCTGCACCACATGGGGTCTGTGGTTGGTTGGCTTTTCTGCCTCTCAGCCCCGCTGTTCCGTCTTCTGCCAGACCTGAGTCCTGGGAGGTGCTCCCATCTCTGTCCATCCACCTGCATCTTTTATATACCTCGTCTTCTCTAGCGTAGCCTGCCTGGAAAAAATGCTGCAGGAAGGGAGTCTCTGGGTGGCCGTGAAGGACAGCCAGGCAAGGGATCCCGTGAACCTCAAAAGGGTGACCCGGGGACTCGGCAGACGATGATACAGTGAGTGGGATGAGTGCCCTCGTTGGGGTGGGGACAGGGCTGTGCCATTTGGACCCCTCCCACATCTCTTGGCTTTCTCATCCTTCACTGCATCCTTCTGTGTTGCTCAATCTCACCACAGAGTCCTCTTGAGAACTGTTGCGAAGCGTCTGGTCCTTAGAGTGGTCGAAATGACTAGATAGGCGGGGTATAAATACAATCAATAATAATAATAATAATAATAATAATAATTTACGGTGCCCATGAGACGTTTGTTGGCCATGTGTGGATCCAGTCTTGGCAACTTC